GCTTTAACCCGCTGCGCCACCAGGGAGGGCCCTATTTTTTCCACTTTTGAGACATCTTAGTTTTTACTTTTCAGTATCTTTCCTGTATCTATTTTTTAAGCATATAACAAGAGTTATAATTGCCTTAATCTCCTTTTGCTAATTATAATATCTGTGTCAGTTCAGTGTTAAGTTTTAGATGAATTTTCACTTGTTATAGGTCATTTTTCACTTTCCTTGTATGCTTTGGAGTTGACTATCAGATACCAGACATTCTGATTTTTACCTTGTTGGATTTTGGATATTTTTGCTTTTTACATTTTTGAGCTTTGTTCAAAAGCACAGGGGTTTTTTTGGTTTGTTTGTTTTTATACTTGTTGGAATGTAGATTCTGAACTCACACAATAGGGGAGCCAGTGACTTGCTTCTGACATGTATAAGTCATCACCTGTACCTCAAGTGTCTTAATTCTTTAAATGGTTGAGTTACAGAAATGCTTTTCATAAAGCTTTCTTGTAAAAGTGTGATGCTAAGTGGTAATAGAGTTTGTTGAGTTTGATGTTTTCACTTCAATAACTGTTTAGTGGATTATTTGTATTATTTATGGGTAAATTAAATTCTCTTTGCTCTAATAATAGTTTAACAGCAAAATCCTCATGTTAGTGGGTTGATTGAAGTAAAGTCACTTTATTGTTCCCATTGAACACTAACACTAGAAAATGATTTTCTATGGTAAGTAATAGGAAATCTGTGAGACTGTCCCCATTCACACTTGGCCAACTTACTGCTGCTGACTTATTGAGAGCAATGCATTCGATTCCAAAATACGGTGTTTGGGCTTAATTTTAGATATTTTTAAATCAATATTAAATAGAGGTGAATAATTTCATATGTCAGAAGCAAGTCACTGTATTTCCTATTGCATCAGTTCAGAACCTATTCCAACAAATGTAGAAGAAAATGTACTCTTGAACAAAGAACAAAAAAAAATCATACTTGTGTATTTAATGCTAACTTTAAAAGTGCATGTTTACTCACTTACAAATTTTTTCCACATTCATGTTGATTCTTGAACAGTTATAAGTAAATGACATTTTATAAAATGGAATCTCTTTGATGAGGCCTATAATAGTGTTTCTAATCTAAATTTTCTTATTATAAATCATCTTTTTGGATAATTTTTATTCTTATATAAAAATTATATAATTACTCATTATATAGTCTTTACTGGAAGATTTCTTAGTAATAATGTAGTTTCATTTTTGAAGCATGGTTGGCTATATTTTGGTACCTATTTGTGTGAAGTGTACTGGATGATTATTTTGAGAAATTGTTACATTGTCTTGATACCTTGCATTCTTGCTTTTTAAGCATGTTCATTCATGAAATAAGAGACCTCCGTAACCTTACCTCTTCCAACTAGAGCTATGAGCTATTTTCTGTGATTCTAGATTCCTTAACCACCCACACAGTGAGACTTTATGATATTCTAGTGAAATGAGTTATTTCACAGTAACTAAGTAGAGAAGATATAGGGAGCACTTATTTCCCAGAGGGTTGGCTCATGTATATCCCATTCTCTGTTCTATCTCAGTTCCCTATGTGTGTGACATCTAGGAGGTGATATAGTGCTATTAAATGAAAATAGAGATATACTTGGGGAGCGAATGGAAATTGGGTTAAAAGGGGTGAAGATGGGGGTGAAAATGCTCTCTTAATTACAAAACTATATTATGTCAAAACAAAATCCTTTCCAAAGCAGAATTTAAAGGTATGGAAAAAGTATCTATTTCAATATATTCCACCATATTACAAACAGAAATATATAGCAAGAAGCCAAAATATTGCTCCGTTCTTTACCATATAAAATATATTTTCAAGCATAGCCATAAATGACACATATTGAATGACACAGTAGACTGATCAAAAATAATAATTAAATTTCTACTATTCTATATAAACTAGGGTTTTTCATTCTTAAATCAAAAAAGGGTGTCAAAGCATCCATTTGTGAGCTGATTCTTATATATATATGATCTATATAATAGTTTATTTTTAGATCATTTTGTGCCTTTTCCATCTCAGTTGCAATCCTCATGGGCTTCCCATCACCAAATCACCCATGTGCCATTACCATAATCCTATGCATTTCCCTCCCAACCCACCCCCCGTTTTTGATCCCATTCCCCACTCCACCCCCATAAAATGTCTCTGGTATATAGCTGTTCATTGGTATTATTATTTCTCACTTGGTCCTTTATTCTCCTGCTATGAGTAAAACCATCTGGTATTTTTCTTTTTTTTTCTGGCTTATTTCACTAAGCATGATCTTTTCCAGCTGTGAGCTGGCTATTTATGGCTATCTTTAGACAATCAGGACCCAGGCAAAATACCCATTTCTGATGATTCTGCAGAGTAGAGGCAGCAAATTCCCTCTATAAAGGTTCTCCTAGTTCTGCAGGCATATATGAGCTCTGCCACTGGTCTTTATTTTTAAGCTTTAAAAAAAAAAAAAAACTTAAGAAAATGTTGCAGAGTGATGTCACATCATTCTAGATGAAGGAAAGAGACAGTCTAATATTCAAATTCTAAAAGAAATTCCTGACTTTTTTCCTTTTTCACCCTCTTAAATTGAGCTTGAGTTTATGTTGTCATTTAAGGGCTTAATTAAACTACCAGATACATTGCTTTTAAATGATTTCATTTTACTCATTTGGCTATAGATGAAGATAGATGTGATGCGCCAAAATAATACTGGTAAAATCATTTGTGGAACAAAAATTTCTTGTTTTCTTACTGCAAAAATAAACCTTAATTATCATTGCCTTTCAGTTCATATAGGGAGACAAACTATATTGCCAAAATGTAAAAGCATTCATTATTGAGTTTTTGCTGGTTTATTGTCATCTAGAAAACTAAGGACAATTGTATTTTTAATAGGCATACTTGCTAAATTATATAACAGAGGATAATTATTTAGTTTACATGATGCTGAGACAGAATATAGTATGTTGATATTGACATTTCTACTAAGTCTGTGAATCAAATTTATGAATTTTCAAAAGAACTACATAAAATGGATGAGTCCTTTGAATTTTGCACATAAATGGGTATTTTAGTGAAGCTGAATGAAATGCAGGTAAATATACATTAGCCATAACATTTTGTGTGAGTACACATCATATCATTGGGCATCATGTTTTTCTGCTTTTTCTTGCACCTTCATCTGTTATACAAATGTACTTTTTAGGGCACACTTTTATCCTCTATTTCCTTGTGTGACATGACAAATATGAGTTTTCCCTGAGCAATGTGAATTCCCTTGTATATCCATTGATTTTATTTTCAATTGGTTTGACTGGTGTTCTTTCTTTATTGATGGGAACTCCAGTGATTTTGAAATTACAATTATCAAGATTGTCAAAAGAAAATGGCAGCCTAATCCTGTATATGGCTGAGTGACCTTCACAATGTTCTTGAAGCACAACTACAACAGTGTATCTTTCCAGATTACTGAAGACCCTTTACTGTGAGAATAAGATATATCTAGTAAATCTAATGTGCATGTGTGTGAGTCTTATGGGCAGAAAAATATATGAGAAATTACAGCTTTCTGAGAATTGTTAAAACTATCACCACTGGCTCACAAGTCATTTACAGAAATTTTTTACTGCTTACGGTGTGAAACCTATTACAAAATTTCAGAAAAACAATAAAGTTGAATGATCGTAAAATACACAGATTTTTTCTTAGGGTAAATTGGATTTCTTCTCCTTTCCTCTGGATCATCAGTGCTCACAGGATGAGAATAGGCCAATATGGAGATAGCAGGAATTGATAATAGAGCAATACCAGTTTTTCTAGAAGATAAATTTTGGGGAAAATGTCAGAAAAAGCAGGCAGTGGAGTTTCAGTCTCTATGTAATATATCCAGACAAAATTGGCGGGAGCATTTACAGTGACTCTTGTGTTAAGCAAACCAGAGATACGCTGTGTGTGAATATACACCTGTATACATATACATGTATATGCATATATTTGTGTGTGCTAACATATCCATTACAATGTGCAAATAAAATTTTATTATACTTAGATCATTTTTAATGTCTTCTGTTGTAGGATCTGAGATGGTTAATTTTGATGGGAAAAGTTTCTTGGTCTACACATTTAATCAGAAAACCACTACAAGTCCAACAAAAGATGTTATTTCTTTGAAATTTAAAACCAGACAGAATGATGGGATTCTGCTCCACAGACAAGGACAGAATGGAAAACACATGACCCTGGAGTTAGTTAAAGGAAAACTCATCTTATTCCTTAATTCAGGTAAAAACTACAAGGTGGTGCTTTGGAAAATATAATTATTTAAATGAAAGTATCTTGTGTATATATATATATATAGATATATATATTAAAAGATTTATTTATTTGTGCATACAGAACTGGGGTACAGGCCAGAGAATCAGGGGTGGCGAAAGACTTCACCAGAGACAGAGTGGGGAGCAGAACAGGCAGATCGACGAAGTACACTGCTGAGGGGAACAGCGGGCGGGTCAGGAGAGGTCTGACACACCATGTGGGAATCGAACTCATGCGGAAGTGGTTTCAGCTTCTTCGTGCAGTGCTTTAACCTGCTGCACCACCAGGGAGAGTCAATATTTATATTTTTTTAATAATCAAGTAGTTAATTTATCCTGAAACCAGAACACTTTTGAGAAAGAAAGGAGATTCTACACTGAAGCAAAGGGTGTAAGTCATGACTACTCAGAGAAACAGAAACACATTCACCCCCACATTTATCTTGAGTATGCTTTTATGTAAAACAATGTGATTTGAGTAATACATAGGATCATTATTAGATGCTCAAAAAAATAACCTGATAATATCATAAGGACAAGAGTGGATAATTGTAAATTTGGAGCTGGCATCATCAATGAGGTGCTGGTGTGAAAATATTCTCAAAAATTAAAAATGAGTAATAAAAATAAGCAATATAATTAAGAATGAAGAAATTGCTCAAGGTCCAAAGAATATGAGTTTAATATTAGGGTAAGACCAGCTGATCAGCTCTTGGGTTAGAAAAAAGTATAATTATTTTGAGAAATACTAAACCTCCCAATAGAAATCATAGTACTGAACTAGATGAAACAGTTCATTTATTTTCCCTCCCTTTTTAGGCAATGCCAACCCACCCTCCACTGAGGCCCACGTAAATCTCACTCTGGGCAGCCTGCTGGATGACCAGCACTGGCATTCCATCCTAATTGAGCTCCTCAACACACAAGTCAACTTCACCGTGGACAGACACACCCATCATTTACAGAAGGGCGAGTCCAGCTATTTGGATCTTGATAATGAGGTGTGAAAATTACTTTTTTTTAAAAAAATATTTATTTATGCATACAGAACTGGGGTACAGGCCAGAGGTACAGGGCAGTGAGGGGATTCACCAGAGACTGAGTGGGGAGGAGAAACAGAGTGGGGAGTAGAACAGGCCGACTGACAAAGTACACTGCTGAGGGGAGCAGCAGGCGGGTCAGGAGAGGTCTGCCGCGCCATGTGGTCACCTCCAGGGGGGGGATTAAACTCATGCTGAAGTAGCTTTAACTTCTTAGTGCTGCGCTTTAACCCACTGCACCACCAAGGAGGGCTAAAAATTACTTTTTAAGTACAAATTTATCATTTGAATCCAATACAATCTCCTAGGTAAATAGAAAAATGCTCTTTCCTAGTATTACTTGGGAAAGTCACTAAGAGAGTAGATAATGTAGTCACAAGAAAAAAAAAATACTATGTAGGGTGATCGTTTCACAGTAAGTGCAAACATCTTATCATTATGTGGTATACCTGAAAATAATTATACCTCAAAAAAAAAAAATACAATGTAAGCTTAGGAAATACTATCACATACAGAAACAACCCTTTCTTAGCAAGTCAGAATTTCTGTGGAATATTTCCTAGCAGTGACAGTTGCCCAGTGGAAGGTGCAGATTTGCCCTTGAGGTGTTTTTTTTTTTTTTTCCTTACCTGTTAGTCTCCACATTAGAGGAAGAGTAAGTAGTCATTAAATTTTGGAACTCTGTAGATGAACTGGATAGCACCGTTTTAAAATTATTCATTTGGACCATTCTTCAGTATAGCATCTGATGTACACCTGTGAACAGTTAGTTACCTTGGACATTTCTTTATCTTTGACAATCCTAAATAGAACTGAACCAGGACCTTTGAAGCAGAGCCCATATTATTATTATTAAATAATATTATTAAGCCCAGCCCTGTTGAGGGGTAGTTGATGCAGTTTGGTTCTAGCCCCACTGAGTTCCTTGGAGCCCTCTTACCCAGAAACTTGCTCAATTCTGAGTGGGAGCCTGGACTTTTCCCTTTTATATAACGCTTCAAGATGTATGTGAGGATGGACCAATTTGATTGGAGCTTGACCAAGACCAAGCTTTGCTCCCCTGAGTTCCGAGTGTTCCCATCTGGTACCTGTATTCCAAATGATTTTTTAATAATATCAGGGCCATTTGACTCAAAATATTGTTTGGGGAAATTTTGAAAGTGATAACAATATTTTCAGCATATTATCTACATTTATTTAATTTTCTCAGAACATCTTCAAACAGTCCAGAAAACTTCAACATTCATTTGGATACCAGATAAAGATCCTGGTCTTGAGTTGAGATTATCATTGGGTATATTATCATTCTAATGTATCAGAGTCCTGGCAGAGCCAAAACTGAAATCCAGGTACTAGAAAGATTTATAAAGTAAAAATGTCATCACAATTGGTTACATTGTGATACAGATCAAGATTTGCCATGGAAATAAAGATGCAATATTCATCACCAGAAATGACACATTCATTCAAGAAGCAAATTGCATGAAGTCTATTTTACCCCATTTATCTAATTAAAATAGATAAATAAATCTGTCATCTAAAACTTCATTTTAAATTTAAATAGAAAATAATGCCAGATTGAGACAATTATCACTATATTTGTTAATCATAAATGTTTTAGGCAGATAATCAGAAAATCATTAAACAATATTATTTATGTCATTTTTTCTTTCTAAGATCAGCTTTGGAGGGATTCCTGGTGATAGAAAATCAGTGGTGTTCCCACACAAAAACTTTTATGGTTGTCTTGAAAATATCTATTTCAATGGAGTGGATATTATTGATTTGGCCAAGAAACACAAATCACAGATCCTCATCATGGTAAGAAAATCTATATAGGAATTTATGAGAAAAGGGGGGTGTAATTGATTATGTCCATTTTGAAATATATCACTCTGCAACACACACATATATAAGTGTATTAAATGTATACATTTTCATTCAGGTTTAATATTTATGTGTGTGTATATATATTTGGAAACAGAGGCATAGTTTTAAAAAGATGTTCAAGTATAATTATATAAGGACTTTATAATACAATGCTTGTTTTTTCACTTGATTTGCTTTTCCTTCTTGGTCTCCTCTCCCCACATGAGACATGAGAGCCGGTCCTCCCATCACCTCCTCTTGTTACTAAGTCTGTGTTTGTCTCTCCATGTTCAATCCATCTGAACTGGTAGACACATATTCACACACATAAACATGAGTGCTTATGTTTATAAACATTTGCTATTGTTCATAAAAATGGGACTACTGGGGTAAGCTTTTCTCCCTCTTGATGCCTTGAGGAAATTCTCAGATATCATGGATAGTTCTGGATCAGAATGGTACTGCTGCTTATTTGGTCATTTCTTATTCAGGACATTTGCTTTATGTGCCTTTTTTTTTTTTTTTTTGCCAATACACTCTGAGAATTGCCGGTGCATTTTCAGGTTCTCTCAGGTATAGTTTTGTTTTGATGAGATAAAGTTCCAGGGAGAGAATATCTTGATATTCTTGAAAGTTTCAGGTTTTAATAACTGTTGTTGGATTGCTTTCCCCCCAACTGTTAATGTAACACTGTCCACCGACAATGTATGAGAGAGTTCTTCCATGACATCACATGCAAACACAGGTGTTCTCCATCTCCTAAACTTTTGCCAGCTCCGTGGATATGAATTAACTTTCATTGTTACTTTCACGTTCATGTGACTACTGGTGAATGAAGTCATATTTTTGTGATTCATCCGGATTTATTTTTTAATCATTGTCCATTCCTATACTCTTGCCAATTTTCGTTTTAATTGATTTGTAATTCATTCTTTATGTGATATATGATAAAGATTATTTCTTATATTATTTATTTTTGCACTGTTTAGTAACAAACACAATCTTTCATAGCACACACTTAGATCATAACTTCCGTTACATATTGATTATGCATAGTCTCAGCTCTTTTTGTGGATGAATGATTTTTTTCATATCGATATGCCATGCCTATATCAAAACCTCATTGACTTGATTACTTTAGCTCTAGTATGTTTTAGTGACTGGTAAGTTCCATTTCACTGTTTTTCTTTGCATACTAGATTGAAGAGAAAAGGCAATTTGAATATATTTTTCCATAGGAAATTTACCAAAATTTATCTAACCTGAGGGAAAAATTTCCTTTAAAGATCTACATTAGAATTACATTAAGTTGTTTCCATTCACACATTATGATTAAAGATAAGTTTCCTCCAAGAACAAAAAAGAGGTTTTCAATAGAACTGTACAAAAATAAAGGCATTTCTGCTGGGAAAGACAGACTTTTGATTGAGTGACCTTCCTGGGTCTCTCAGCCTGTGAGAGCTTCTGATAGGCAGCCAGGTTTCCTTTGGGACAGCCGTCCTCCACACATCATTTTTGTCAGACCTGCAGAAACCCAACTCCTACTTAGAATAAAATGTAGCTGTTATCTAAATGACAAACTTGTAATCACGCTTGCATAATCAAAGTAAGTACCAAAAGTTTCCTAGAGTATGTTCTCCTTGATGTTGGTCTTCATTAGATTAAACATGTCTAAAAACTTGAAGGAGGAAATCTCATTTTTTGTATCCCTTGTCCAATATAAAGCTCAAGAAAAAAGTTGGCTGGACATTCTTTTGCACATACTGAAAAATGAAGGAGGTGGATATTTCCCAAGAGACCCACTCTTAGATTTACCTAGAGGGAACTCCAAGACAAATATGGCAAAGCCTGATTTTTAAAAGCTACTTTTCTGCAAAGTTGATAAGAAACTGTAAATAGTGGGAAATTTGTTGCTAATTCAATGATATGCCAGTCTTACTCTTTTGCTTTCCTAATATACTCACTTTACTTACAGGGAAATGTTTCCTTCTTCTGTTCACACCCTCAAACTGTCCCTGTGACTTTCCTAAGCTCCAAGAGTTACTTGGCTTTGCCAGGCACATCGAAGAAGGACAAACTGTCCATTGCTTTCCAGTTTCGAACTTGGAACAGAGTGGGTCTTTTGCTGACCAGTTGGCTTCAACACAGGTCCATGACTCTCAGCCTTATTCTACATGATGGAAAACTCAAGCTGAGTCTCTCCCAGCCTGAACATCCAGTGAGAGATGTCACAGTAGGTAAGAACATGTACCCTATGATAATAGCCATTGGTCATGTCTGTAATACCTTACAAGTAAAACTAAGATTGGTAATCTCTAAAATAAGTAGATGATTAAACCAATAAGATACTCATAATTCTAGTAGGAGAAACTAAATTCCATTATCCTTTGACATAGGTTAATTGCAGGCTGTTGATGAATGAGTCAGTATGAAAAAAAATTAGCATAATTACAAAAAGTTTAAAAATAACTTGTTACTTGATAGTAAGACTGGGCAAATTTGAATTACTACAAGAAATTAGTTTAATTCTAGTTAGCCTTAAAAAATAGAGTTAACTGGCCCTCCCTGGTGGCGCGGCGGGTTAAAGCACAGCACTAAGAAGCTAAAGCCACTTCCGCATGAGTTCGATTCCTGCCTGCCCCGGAGGCTACCACATGGCGTGGCAGACCTCTCCTGACCCGCCCGCTGCTCCCCTCAGCAGTGTGCTTCGTCGATCTGCCTGTTCTGCTTCCTGCTCTGTCTCTGGTGAATTCTCTCACCCTCCGCATCTCTGGCCTGTACCCCAGTTCTGTACAAATAAATAAATAAATCTTAAAAAAAAAATAGAGTTAACTGCCTTATAAACCTATGTATACATTGATTTTCAAACTGTTAAGTCATAAATTTTCCCTCGTCTGTCAGCTGCTGCTTTTAGTTTTGGATAAGGCTTCTCAGAACCCCTGGTGGATATTTTACTCCCATATTCCAAAGAGGATTAATTTTTATCTGAACTCACTTCTAGAGTCATGTTATCTTTGACCTTTGCAGTTGAGTGTTTATTAAAAAATAAACAAAAAGTCAACAGACACATGGCATGTAATTTCATGAATATTGAATGAGAAAGGAATATCGTGCCTGATCTAGGATTATGGGTTTTGGACAGAAGAGCTGGGAATAAAACTGAATATTTTCTGTCTTTTTAGAAATTAAAAAAATGAAATAATTGACAGTGTGCTGAATTTCCTTTTGAACCTAAGTAATATAGCTGATAGTCTCAATTCAATAGGTTGCTTAAATCTTGGTTTTATAAATTTAGAATCCACATGCAGTATGAAAAACACGAGATGCATTTACTGTTTCACATGTGCATTTAACACCCTCCTCCCAACACATACATATATTAGTTATTGAACTTTTCTGTAAATTGACACTGAGAAATTACCTAAATATGTTATTGCCCCTAATTTTTAAGCTTTTACAGCTTTGTAAGATGTTCTTTTTTGGAAGCAAAGGAAAGGTAAATGTCTTTTAATACTTAATATGCTGCTTGTTTTAGTAGAATGTGTGGGGAAAATTTTTTTACATTTGAAATAGATTTTTAAAATAACTGATTGCAATTATCAAGTATCAAACCATGTACCAAACTAAACCAAATTGTATAGAAGTTAAACTTCTTGCACATTCATCAACATTCTATTTCAATATTGAGAGATCCTGCTAGACCACACCTAAATCTGGTACAGAAGAGATAGCAGATTTTAGATTAGTTTTCTAGTAGCTGTCTCAATAACTAAATGTATAGTCTCTTTATGTGTGTGATTATGGGGGTAGGCAAAAGCTGGTAGTCACAGATAGAAGGAAATAGGAAGAGTAAAAGTGAGTTTGCATGCTCACCTGTGGAATGTCCAAGAGGTCAGAAAAGGCACAGTTCTATCCTTTTCCAAATTGTCCCTGCTGCCAATGCCATTATTCCTTGTTGCTTGACTATTAAATCATTTGACTTATGCACATGGGAAGATTCAAGTTTCCAGAATTGCCTCTGAGCTATGCCAGCTGATCATCTTTGATAAGCATCACCTTTGATGAAGTCTGGGCCTTCATCTTTTTTTTTTTTTTAAAGATTTATTTATTTGTGCATACAGAATTGGGGTATAGGCCAGAGGTGCAGGGGCGGTGAGAGGCTTCACCAGAGACAGAGTGGGGAGCAGAACAGGCTGACTGACGAAGTACACTGCTGAGGGGAACAGCGGGTGGGTCAGGAGAGGTCTGCTGCGCCATGTGGTCACCTCCCGGGCAGGCGGGAATCAAACTCATGTGGAAGTGGCTTTAGCTTTTTTTTAGTGCTGCGCTTTAACCTGCTGCGCCACCAGGGAGGGCCTGGGCCTTCATCTTTAAGATGAGACTAATATAGTATGAGAATCAATGCTATCAGGCACATAGCTCCTAAGAGTAATAGCTCAGTAACTCTTACTATTTCAAAACTAATCCCACAACTCTTATACCCTGCCTCCCCAAATCCAGATTGAGGCCATTAGAGGATGAGGAGGTTAAAGAGATATGGTAGAACTAGGATCATTTTAATAGTAGCATAAATCAAAACAACAAAATCTGCTCTCTCTTTTCCATGATGCTTTGGTAGTACTATTGCTTGGAAACAGTCTCTTCTTTGATCAGGCATAAGAGTTAAAAAACACACTAAAGAAAAACTGAAGATTAGAATCAGAATGGATAGATTAAAGTGAATAGACAAAAGTAAAAAAAAAAACTAAATAGAAATCTGACTGTAGAATTGAGACTACCGGAGTAGGAGGGTGAGGGAGGGGAGCGCAGGTCAATGGGGACCTAATGGATTGTGGTGGAGGAGTATGAGTGCTTTGTGGTGGGTCTGGTGTGATAACATACTTCTAAAGAGGTGTGACCCTAAACTCACCAATCATATACATTGGTGTAAATCACCATAGCTTAATAAAAATAATAAAATAATAACAATCATAAAAGATGGTGAACATAAGTGCAGATATTTTATTTTTTAATTGGAAGTGACATCTATTACATATCCAAGGAGATATTCTGGAGTGTTTTCTAAATGTTCTCCCATGAATTACTCTACATACTAGATAGAGGAAGAGTGAGAATGGGAAAGAACCAGGAAAAGGGGAGGAGGAGGTATGGAAGAAGGAAAAGGTTTGAAAATCTTGGAGGGAAGTGAGAGAGAGGGAGGGAGAAAATAGTTCGCAAAATCAAGTTAAATGTTAGACATCAGTGTCAATTTTATATGGATGTGGTCATCATAGTGACAGATACACTGTTTGCCATGTGAAAGATACATCAAATGACAAACCTAGCAGGAGCATTTAGATATTTTTGTCATTTGTTCTCTTAGCTATAGAATTACACAATATTTTTCAGAACTCTATTTCAGAGTCAATATGTATTTTAAAAAATCTAACTCTCAATCCTTCATATTCTAGTTCTCAGCTTTTCTCATTGTCTTTCATGAATAAAATCAATGTTGTTGAGTCTTTGCAGACAAAAATTTTTGAGTCTGCAAAGCTAAACTAAAAGCCAGGGTGTAGCATTTTTACTGTACTCAGTATACCTGTACATGACAGAAACCTGTAGTGAATTGGAAAATTTCCTCTCCCTAGGGGTAGGTGCTGGGAAGTCTCATAACTAATATTTAACAATCTGAAAAAAATGTTGTAGTGTTTTATACCTTCTGGGTCATGTCAGAAAGACATTTCCCACAGACAGATCTTGAGTCCATACACAGACTCTACAAAACAAAAAAACACTGTCTTGAAGAGCATTTAAGGAACATGAATTTATATGGTCAGTTGAACAATAAATACTCACATGTGACATTAAGTTAAATATAACTGGTTAGCTTTCTAATGGATACATGGTCATATTTTCTTTGGCGTTAACATCTTCACTGAACTAGAATGTACTAATATCCAAGTCTGTGTGTTTATCACTTGTAAGACATATTATTTAAATATACTAGTACATTACATGAGAGGATCTGCTTACAGTCACATGGATTCACAGTATACTCATGACCTCAAAAAAATTCAAGCAATCATTACTTTTCATGTTTAAATGAGTGTTTCTTTCTAGGTCCCTCCATTCCTGTTAACTAAGAAATTTTTCTAAAGATCTCAGTTATACACTTTCCCTGTTTAATTGAAATTTGCAGCCTTTGGCCTACAGTGGGAGTGACAGTGAATATGGAGGGAAGGATTATAATCGCTTGTTGTTGACTTAAATTTTGGCCAGTGGAATGTGAATGGACCTAACATGCCATGTTAGAGTAGAAGTTTCAAATGCTGTAGCCAGATTCTGTAACATGCTTTTTCCTCTCAGCCAGGAAGCAGAGCTGGGAGTTGGAGGTTAGCTCTGAAATCCTAACCCCTGGGGCTCAGAAGACATGAGGACATAGAGCCAGCCCTGCTGAACTATAGCAAGGAACAAACAGTTGTTATTCTTTGAAACTTGAGGATCGTTGCCCCAAATTACCTAGTAGAAATTAGCTAACAAAAATGATCTTGACCAGCACCCTGGGACACCATCTGTTAACTAATTTATCTCTGCATGTTGGGCATTCCCTCAATAAGACCTTTACATATAGGAGGTGCTGGGGTCAGTGCAGTTGGTAGCAGTTACGGCAGTTGTGACCAGTGCCAATTCTGTCACTTTAAGAAAAAAACATGTTTCAACTCAGGGATTCAAGACACAGTGACTGTTTTTTGAAGGGACTAATGTTAGTTTTTAAACATAATATAATATTTAGATATTGTAACCACGGGCTCCCCTCAGTGGTATCAAATTTGAAAATATAGAAAATGTAAAAGTGATATAAAATGAAGCAGTCACACTTTTATTTGTCCAGGAATTACAGTTACCATTCAAGAATATTTCCTGCCAGTCTTGTTCCATTTTCATACAGTGTTTGAGGGTGTGTACACACATACCTTAATGCAATGCTATTTTTAACTTTACATTTTGTTAAATTAATTTTCATGTTTTGTTAATGCTCAAATTATTTTTAAAAACTATTAATGTATTTTGAATAGTCTATTAAAATTAGGATAATAATCTTATACAAAAGCAAAAAGAAGTTTTTATTTATCTAACTTACTTTAGAAATGTTTTGTCCCAACTTCTGTGACCGGCCACAAGAAAGGAAGGCGGGAGGCAGAAAGGCTGAGCAAGCAGAGTTTATTGCTCCC